TGCTTTCACTGATTGTATTCAGGGCCCTATAATCCACGCATAAACGTAAAGAGCCATCCTTCTTCTCTCTAAAAAGGACCGGGGCAGCCACTTTAGGCTTGGCTGGCTCAATGAAACCTCTCTCCAGGTTTTTTTTTATAAATCTTTCCATTTCCTCCTTCTCCTTTGGGCTCATGGAGTATAATCTGGGCTTCGGGAGTTTTGCCCCAGGCTTGAATTCAATGGTACAGTCTGTGGGTCGGTGGGGGGGAAGCTCATTCGCCCTCTCCTCACTGAAGACTTCAGCAAGGTCCCTATATTCCTCTGGTATTTCTGTTAATCTTTTTTCCTCTCCTATGGATGCTTTTTCTATTCTTGATTCTGGTAGCCTCCCTTGGGGTTTTAAGTCCATAGGGTCCCCCTTCGGGAATTTGATTTCTGTCGTCCTCCAATTTACCCAGGGGTTCCATTTTTTCAACCATTCCATCCCTAGAATCATTGGGCATTCCATACCTGGGGTCACCACAAACGTTAAGTCCTCTTCATGGTTGCCCAGGGAGAGATGTATTGGCAAAGTGGCTAGGGTAGCTGGCACCCCCCCTGCTATGGATCCATCTAGCTGGCCAAATGAGATTGGTTGTTCCAGTCTCCTGGATGGGATGCCCAGATTCCCCACTAGTGTTGGGCTAATGAGGCAGCGGGTGCAGCCAGAGTCTATTAAGGCTTTCACCTTCACAGCTTCGGGCATGGGGGGGATTAATATAGTCACTGTTTTGAAGATGGGTGTGATGCATCCACTTACCAGGGGTTCGCCCTCCGAGCTGTCATCTGAGGCATCCACCGGCCCTGTGGTGTAGGCTGGAGTCCTTTCCCCTTGGTGAGCAGAGGTGGGGGTTTCTGCAATTTCCATCATTCTCATGGCCGTTTCTTTTGGCTTAGCTGAATACTTTCCGGGTTTGTTGATTGGGGATCTGTCTGGGTTGTGCTGGGGGGCCTTTGAGCGGCATTCTACAGCTCGATGCCCTTCTCTTCCGCATTTGAAACATCCCATTTGCTTCTTGGCTGTATCCGATGATTTCACCGGTTGGTGTGTCAGCTCAGGCGGGGGGCGGCTCCATTGTTTTCCTCGGCGGTGCCTCTTCAATATGTCGATCTCTGCTTCCTCTGCCAAGACGTACCATTCCTCAAGTCGATGTGGGTCCCCTCGGGGCAGGCAAGCATCATATAGATCATAGTTTAGTCCGTCTTTGAAACGGCCAAGGAGGATGTCTTCTGGCCAATTCAGTTTGCTGGCAATGGCCCGGAATTCTTGTGTATACTCAGCCACTGGGCGTTTGCCCTTGCCTCATCGTTGTTATTCTTTCACGGGCTTTGCGATCAGCCAGGGGGTCTTCAAATCGTCTTCTCAAAGAGGACATGAAACGGTTGAAGTTACTGAGTTCTGGGGCATTGGAGTCATGCAAGTTCACTACCCAATCCGCAGCTGGTCCATCCAGGGCAGATTGCACGATCCGGATGCGGGCTTTGTCGCTGGGAATATCCTGCCCATATTCCTCCATGTAGCTGAGGACTTGGGTTAGGAAAAACCCCAAGCGTGTTGGCTCCCCTTTGAATTTCACTTCCAACGGTGGACGTCTTGGAATGGATCGGTGCCTCTGTTGTGGGTGGTAGTGCCTTCCGTCCAGATTGCCATCTGTGGTCCGGTAGGGGGTGGGAGCTCCTGGATCAGTAGATGTCCCTGGGGTTGCAGGTTCCATGTCCCCCTCGGTGTCTCTCCGTTTGCGGCTCCAGGAACTGGGGCGGCCGTAGGGTTCAGTATTCTCCTCTCCTAGGGAGCTGAGAGTTCTTTTCATCAGGTCAATAGCTTTCTCTAGGATCCAGTCTGAGTACGGTGCCCAGCTTCCTCCCTCTTCACTTGCGTGCAGGGATTTCTCCATCTCCTGCTTCCATTCTGGTTGCTTGGTCCCCCCGTCTCAGGGTCACCTTTCTTGATTCCTTTCTCCACTCACTTTTCTTTCCAACGTTCATCGACCAGCGAGGCTTGTGGTCCTGTGTCTCCACCACTTCTTCTCCTGAGGAATCTGGCCTCTCGGATCCCAACATCTGGCAAGGTTCCAACTGGGTCAGCGGCTCTCTTTCCAGGGAGTTTTCCCCCTCTCTTGCTCCATTGTCTGACATGGTAAATTTTTTGCAAAATCCCCCGGCAAGGGTCTCCCTTCCAGTTGGATTAATTTTGCAAGTCCTGTCTAATGTAAGGACCCACCCCACTTTGCATCTTAAGAAGACAGAACTCTTGGAATAATTCTTCCAACAGGAATCCTTTATTAAGAGAAAATGGTTGCAGGCATTCTAGACAGGACTTGGGGTTCAAGCTCTTCCATTCAAGGTTTTAAGGGGTTCCCCAGTAGTCCCACCCAATCAACCCCCCTTCCAGTGATAGTTTCAAGTATCACAATTCCACCCCTTTTCTTATTTCTTCCGTCTGGATGGAGACTTCAGATAACTACATGAAAGGCAAATACTCTCCTTTGGTATGCTAACACTTCGAGGTTACAATAAACACACATTCAACATTCAGCCCTTTGAAGTGTACTGAAGGAAGTGAGGGCCATAAAGCCCCTTTGTTCTCCCCCTTCTCTCCCTCTTATGGCAGAATTCAGAGATGGCAGAATTGGGAGTTTCTATATTTGATAATTAAAGATGAAATATAATTGGATTCTGACAGCTGGAAACCCACGTCTGCCGCCATCCTACGCACACAGACCAGATCCTCAGCTTCGCAATTAACCCCCACCACCACACACAAAGGAGCTGCCTCCAGGCCCTCTTCAGAGGGGGGGGGAAGGACCTCCTGCAGCACAACAACGCAAAGAAAAGTGGAGGAGAAATGGCTGCCTGGCGCCTTTCTCCACAACAGCTCTCTGAGAATCTTTGTATTCTGACAGCACCCAAACCACAACGCACCACACAGCCGACCACTGAGTAAACACTAATCGTACCAGATACAAACGGGGGTGACGGAAACGACAGCCAGAGTTCTTCAACCCTTAGGAATAGCAACAGCCCACAGACCCACAGCCACACTCTGCCAGGAATTATCCAGAACCAAAGACAAGCGAAGACCCGACCGGCCTGGAGTCCAAACGAAAGCCAGCCAGGTGCTCCCAATAGGGGTTGAGGTTCAAGGCAAAAGGAAGCTGGCCGGGAAGGCTGATTCTCCAGGGGGCACCCTCAAGAACCCCCCCCCAATCTTGCCATTACGGGGCCCTCGGCCTGGGCAGCAAGGCTTCCCTGCAGGATGGGTGCGGGCACACAGTCCCAGGGCTTCCCAGCACGGGGACAGGAGCAGCCAGGCAACCCGTTCCCACCACAGACCTTGAGCAGCCCCCAGGGGGAAAGGATCCCAGCAGGTGGGCCCTCCGGGGGAACAAGGGGGGGGGCTGGCAGAGGAGCCCTGCTGGTGCCCAGCCCCCCTGGGTCTGAGCATGGTGGAGGCAAGAAGGGAGGGATGAGTCTCTGGCCCAGGAAGAGTAAGTGCTGGGAGGGACCTTGGAGGTCTTCTAGTCCAGCCCCCTGCTCAAACAGGAGAGCCTAGACCAGGGGTAGGCAACCTTGGCTCTTTTATGACTCGTGGACTTCAACTCCCAGCATAGCTGGCTCAGGAATTCTGGGAGTTGAAGTCCACGAGTCATAAAAGAGCCAAGGTTGCCTACCCCTGGCCTAGACCTTCCCAGACAGGTGGCTGTCCAGTCTTTCCTTGGAAACCTCCAGCGACAACTCTTGCAGGAAACGTCTTTCCACTGATTGTTCTCCCTGTCAGGAAGTTTCTTCTTATTTGATATTTCTAAGTTTGGTTCTCTCCTTGGTGAGTTTCCCTCCGTTGCTTCTTGTCCCGGCTTCTTCAGGGTCTCTGGAGAAGAGCTTGACTCCCTCTTCTGTGGGGCAGCCCCTCAGATATTGGAAGACTGCTATCCTGTCCTTCTCTTCGTTAAAAGTGACATTCCCGGTTCCTGCAATCATTCTTTGCAGGTTTTAGCCTGGGGCGAGGAGGAAGGAGGGTCCCTCTAGCGTCCTCTCTGCCCCCTTGGGCAAAAGGCAGGTGGGGAGGGTCGCATCTAATAAATACATCAATGCTTCTGGAAGGCAAGGCTGTTGCGCCTGGGTTCAGCCGTGGCGAAACCGAAGGGGGTCGTTTCCTTGGGGGAGGGGCTCCCCAACCTGCTTCCCTGCCCTCCTGCCTCTGAGCCCCACAAGAAGGGTGGGCTTTGAGCAGGGCCTCTGTCTGTGTGGCACCCTGCTCAGTTCCCCACTGGACACGGGGCAGGTTAGGCCAGCTGAACTCCCCCTCCCCCACCTCTCCCAGCCTCCCCATTAGCTCTGTTGCCGGCATCTTCTGCTCTTTCCCCAAAGCCTCCCTCCCCCTAGGCCGGCATGAGCTAAATTTGGTGAATATTGGAGGGGGGGCAGTGAGATCTTAGCAAGTTGTGTCAATTTATTGTGCTCTCCCCCCCCTGTAAGAAATAATTAAGGTTCCCCTCCCCACTTTCTGGGTTGAAGTCCCATTTCCTTTCTTAACCTCCAAAACTTGGGGTGGAGGAGGATGGGGGCTCTAGAAACGGACCCCTCCCCCAGCAAAGGAAGAACACCCCCCCCCAGAAACTGCAGAGTTCAGTGAGTTCAGCAAATGGCAGAACTGTTGCTTCTCCAGCCCGGACTTTGCCCCAAAGAAATCCTGTTCCTTTCCCTCAGCCCCCAACTGTGCTTCCCTGGGGTCAGGCGGGGGGGGGGCTTCGGGTGACCCAGCAAGACTGCTCTCCTCCCCCCAGTCTCCCTCCCAGGACCACAAAAGCACAACATTCTGCTTGTTCTGGGGAAACTTTTATTGCGTCTTCCGTGGGCTAGGAGGGGCTCCAGGCATGGCGAGGAGGGGCAGGCGGCTGCCATGCCTACTGGGAGGCCTAGTGGTAGCGGTAGGCCAAGGCGTGGGTCACCACATTGGTCAGCTTCTGAAAGGCGGCGTGGGTGCTGGGGGTAAACTATTCCCCATGGTCGCCGGCCAGGACAATGATGAGGACGTTGCCCAGAAGCTGGAAGAGAGGAGGGGGGGGGACTGACACCTGCTGCAAGAGGAGCCTTGGCTGGCATCTCTGCCCTTTGACCCCCCCGCCCCACCCCTGCCCCCGCCCTGACACGGAACCCAGAAAGAGCAGTGGACATGTTCAGACGCTCCACCTTTCCCTCCTGGACTGCGCCAATCAATTGTCCCTCTGATCCAGGTCAGCCCTGTGACCGGACAGCGGTCCCTCTCCTGGGAGACTTTTGGCTCCTTCCTGGCCCTGAACGGGGCCACTGCCGCCATTTCAGGGCAGGACGCAGCCGGAAAAGGCTGCCCTGGTGCCAAGGAGAGGAGGTGCCCAGCCCGGGAGGGAGGCGGGGGGGGGGGTTCCACCTCACCCTGAAGTTCTCGGGGTCCACGTGCAGCTCACTCAGCTTGGAGAAGGTCTCCTTGATGCTGTCTATGTTCTTGATGGCCTCCCCGAAGGCGCTCAGCACCTTCGTCCCGTGGGCCCTGACCAGGGGGTTGGCATAGATGTCGCTGGGGCCGGAGAGGTTCCCGAAGTGGGCGAAGAAGCGCTGGGTCCAGGGGTACACCACCAGCAGTCTGCCAGGGGAGGGAGGGAGAGAGAAAGGGGGGAGGAGGAGGAGGAGACGGTGGGGGGGGGTCCCTGCGGGGCCTGCCCTGCCCTCCCCCGGCCCGGCCGCAGCTCTTACCTCCCGAGGCTGGCAGCGTCCACTTCGAGCACGTCCACCTCGCTCCAGAGGGCGGTGATCAGCTGCTTCTGTACGGGCGTCCAGTGCACCATGCTGGCTGCTGGAGGACGGAGCGCTGGAGAGACGGTCGGCGACGAGGAGGAGGAGGGAGCGAGCTGAGCCCGGACCTCGGGGCCGACTTTTATACCCTGCGCCCCGCAGCCCCGCCTACCCGGAGCGGGCCTCGCCCGGACCCGCCGCCTCCCATCCCCTCCCTCCCTCCCTCCCTCTCTGTCGGGGGGGGGGCGCAGAAGGCCGCTCTCCCCCGTCCTGCTCCAGCTTCCTCGGCGCAGAAGCGCCCCGGCCGGCCCCAGGCCCCGGCGAGGCTCCTCGGCGCACTTCAGCGCTGGGCTCGTGTCCGGGACGCGACTGGATGTGCTGCGCCTTTCCTGGACCGGCAACGCCAGGTCCGCGTCTGAGCCCAGTTGCAGCCGACCCGACCCGTTAACCTGGCCGAGGAGCGAGTCTGCCCTTCCGCTCCTCGGAGACCGTCCGGGGAGGCTGCTGGCCTTGAGGGGGAGGCGGGGGGGGACACCTCCTGGCAACGGAGCCCTCCCCGGCCGGGGCCGCAGCCCGGGACAAGCTCGCCTCGCCCCAGAGGGGGGGGGCAGGAGGGGACCCGGGGCTTGGCGGGGGGCGACGCCTTTCCCTCAGCCAGGGGAGGGGGCTGCAAAGGGCGACTGTCGGCGAGGGGACTCCGCAGCTGTCGGAGTTGCCAAGTTTGAGAAACACGGATGTAGACCTTGGAGAGGGGAGCGTGTCAATCGCCAGCTTCCTTTCTGCCCCATCATAATCCCCCCTCCCATGGGGGATTAATAATGATGAGAGAGAATTAATAATAATAATAAACTTGGAAGGGACCTTGGAGGGCATCTAGTCCAACCCCCTGCTCAGGCAGGGAACCCTGTACCGTTTCAGACAAATGGCTGTCCAGTCTCTTCTTAAGAGCTTCCAGTGTTGGAGCATTTACTGCTTCTGGAGGCAGGTGGTTCCCCTGGTTAATTGTTCTGACTGTCAGGAAGTTTCTCCTTAGTTCCAGGTTGCTTCTCTCCTTGTTTAGTTTCCACGTGGCTTCTTGTCCTGCCTTCAGGGGCTTTGGAGAATAGTGTAATTCCTTCTTCTTTGTGGGCAGCCGCTGAGATACTGGAAGACTGCTATCCTGTCCCCCCCTCATCCTTCTCTTCATTAAACTAGACATAGCCAATTCCAGCAACCGTTCCTTACATGCTTTAGCCTCCAGTCCCCTAATCATCTTTGTGGCTCTTCTCTGTACTCTTTCTCGAGTCTCAGCATCTTTTTTACATCGTGGTGACCAAAACTGGATGCAGTATTCCAAGTGTGGCCTTACCAAGACATTGTAAAGTGGTATTAACGCTTCACATAATCTTGGTTCTCTCCCTCTGTTAATGCAGCCTAGCACTGAGTTGGCTTTTTTGGCAGCTGCAGCACACTGCTGGCTCATATTTAAGGGATTATCCACTAGGATTCAATAGTTACTACTATTGAGCAAGGTACCTGTTATGTCCCGAGCCTTGCAAATGGGCTCGGGGCGTTTGCAGGCAGTCCCGGTCAGGTGCAAAGCTGCCCGGGACCAGACAGGCTGTCGCCAGCGCCTGTGCACATGCGCGGGTGCTGGCGCGGGAAAAGTAACACATTGACGTGGGAAATGCCTATATAAGAGGCTGGGAGCTTTTGGGCGCTGCTGAAGCCTTCTATCTGTAAGCTGAACACAGAATAAAGAAAACCTGAGAACTACAATTGCTTCTCGTGTCTTGCCTTCCGTGAAGAACACTGGCGACGAGGATGGGATGCCTTACATCGCCTGGAAAGGAAAAGGTGTAAGCTTACCCAAGTGAGTCCTGAGCGGCGGAACGGCGTTGACTCGGCAGCTACCCGCCAATCCAGTGCGCATTCGGGGGTAGGCTGGCTGATAAACCCGTCTCCTGCAAATGGCAAAGGTTGGAAGGCTTTCGGAGTTCAACGTCTCACATCCAGAGCAGTGGGAGTCCTACGTAGTTAGTGTGGAGAACTACCTCATGGTGAACCAAGTGAGGGAAGATAGCTTGAAGGCTGCCACCCTGCTTTGTGTCTGCGGTCAAGACGCCTTCGAAATCGCAGAGAACCTTGCAGCACCAGTTCCATTAGAGTCTGTCAGTTACGCAGATCTAAAGAAGCTACTGAAGGAGCACTTCCAGCCCAAGATGTCCGTCATTGCATGGCACCACACCTTCGAGCAGAGGGATCAACGATCCGGAGAGTCGGCCAAAGAGTACATCGCCGCATTGAGGAAGGCCGCCAAGCACTGCGAGTTCAAGGACCTCGAAGAACGACTAAGGGACCGATTCGTGTGCGGGTTAAGGCATCGAGATCTACAACAGAGGCTTTTCGCCAAAGAAGACTTGTCCTTCCAAGATGCCTTAAGAGAGGTCACCGCAGAGAAGCAGCAGGCGGCGCCATCAAGAACATGCGGCCGATCAGGAACAGTCCAGATGTCGCATCCGTGCACCAAGAGACGTCCAAGGGAACTCCGAGGAGGATCCGGACGAGGAAGTCGACCGTCTCCACCCCACGAAGGAAGGGAATCAGAAGGGAAGCTCTTCAGCTCCGCTCAAGTGCATCGGCTGTGGAGGTTGCCACAGGAGAACCGACTGCAAGTTCCGCTCCGCTACCTGCCGGGCATGCGGAAACAAGGACACATTGCAGCTGTGTGTCTGGGCCGACGAAAGGTACAACCTCAGGAAGAACTGCGCCTGAAAGGTACCAGGGTCCCCAGCCAGAATAGGGTAGGTTTTTGCGCTTCGCGAAGGAGCATCTTCAGGACAGGCACACACAAGCCCATTAAGAAAAAGCTGTCACTCAAGGTGAAGCTACAAGGGGTTCCATTAACTATGGAACTAGACACGGGGTCTGCTCTTTCAATCATCTCCTTGCATACATTTAGGAAGATTTGTTCCGGCAGTGGAACTCAGGCCAAGTTAAGGCCTTCTGACATTGTGTTAACAGATTTTCAAAATTCAAGAGTGTGTGTTAAGGGGGAGGCCACCCTTAACGTGCAGTACAAGAATTTTGAAGGTCCACTAGACCTATTAGTAGTAGGGGGTGAACGAACGAGTCTCATAGGACTCGATTGGTTTGAGGCCTTGGGGATTCACGTCACAGGGCTCAACAGCTTACAAACACTCGACCTACAGGAAGTCTGCAAAGAATTTGCAGATGTTTTCAGCCCCCAGCTGGGCACATTCAAAAGACCCCCTGTGTCCTTAAAAGTAGACCCCACTTTCACTCCCATTAGAATTAAAGCAAGAAGGGTCCCTTTTGCTTTAAAGAGTAAAATTGACACTGAGTTGGACAAACTGATCCAACAGGGAATTCTAGAACCTGTTGATTCCAGTCCTTGGGAGACCCCCATTGTCACGCCTCTAAAGGCAAATGGGGACATTCGCATTTGTGCTGATTACAAATGCGCTCTTAATAAGGCATTGCAGCAACATGCCTATCCTGTTCCTGTGGTCAATCATATCCTGTCCTCCCTCAAGGGGGGGCGTGTTTTTGGAAAGCTTGACCTAGCTCAAGCATATCAACAGCTGCCTGTTGATGATGATGCTGCCATAGCTCAGACTATTGTGACCCACAGAGGAGCCTTTAAGCTAAAAAGGCTACAGTTTGGAGTGAATGTCGCTCCTGGGATTTTCCAAAGCGTAATGGAAGACACACTACGGGGTATACCAGGGGTTTGCCCCTACTTTGATGATGTCTTAATTGCAGGAGACTCCGCACACATTCTAGCTGAAAGGCTAAGTGCTGTTCTGTTAAGATTCAGGAAAACAGGCCTCAAGCTTAAAAAAGACAAATGCAAAATTGGGGTGCCTTCTACTGAATTTCTGGGGTTCAAAATTGATGCTGCTGGGATTCACCCTGCTGAATCCAAACTAACTGCTATTTTAGAAGCACCCAGGCTTGTGTCTAAGGCCGAACTTCAGGCCTTTCTGGGCCTCCTGAATTTCTACAATTCCTTTCTTCCACATAAAGCTAGTGTAGCTGAGCCTCTTCACAGGCTATTAGATAAACAAACAGTGTGGCAGTGGTCACAAACACATGAGGCTAGCTTCAACGAGGTCAAGGCCTTGCTCACTTCTAACAGTGTACTTGCACACTTCAATGAGTCCCTTCCTGTGTGCATCGCTTGTGATGCATCCCCTTAAGGGGTAGGAGCTGTCCTGAGCCACCTCAGGTCTGATGGAACTCAGGTTCCTGTTGCATATTACTCCAGAACATTGTCTTCTGCTGAGCGCAACTACGCTCAGATAGACAGGGAGGCTCTGGCTGTTGTTGCTGGAATTAAAAAATTCCATGATTTTCTATATGGCAGGCATTTCACGGTCTTCACTGACCATAAGCCTCTGCTGGGACTGTTTACCACACGTAAGCAGACTCCCCAAATCATTTCCCCTAGAATGCTTAGGTGGTCTATTTTTTTGTCTGCATATGATTTTTCCTTACTCCACAATCCTGGGAAAGAAATGGGCCATGCTGATGGCCTCAGTAGATTGCCCCTGCCAGTAGTAGAAGCTGACCCTGCGCCAGCTGTCAACATTCTATCCATCCAGGCCTTGCCCGAGCTCCCTCTTAATGCCAGGGATGTTGCCGCTGAAGCAGGCACAGATCACACACTTTCACGTGTCCTTTCCTGGGTTTTGTCTGGATGGCCTGAGCACTGCCCTATCCTGAGTTTCAGAGTTTCTGGTCCAAAAGGAACGAGTTGTCCACTTCTCAGGGTTGTCTGCTTTGGGGAAACAGAGTTGTCATTCCCACCTCAATGAGGACTAGGGTCTTAGAGTCCCTCCACGAGGGTCATCCTGGCATTGTTCGTATGAAGGCTCTTGCGCACGGCCACTTGTGGTGGCCTGGTTTAGATAAGGACATTGAGGCTAAGGTGCATGCATGCCACCTGTGCCAGCGATCTCGCCCAGAGATGCCCCAAGCTCCTGTGCATAGATGGGAGGAAACGCAGTCCCCTTGGTCTAGGGTGCACATTGACTACGCTGGGCCCTTTCAGGGCCAGTTCTTCTTGGTCCTTGTTGACAGCCATTCAAAATGGCTTGAGGTTGTACCTGTCTCATCCACTACCACTGCAAAGACTATTCAGGTACTGAGGGGGATTTTTGCTGCACACGGGCTTCCTGATGTC